GACGAGATGAGCCACCAACACACGAAGTAGATCTTGGACCACCTGGGAAACAAATCATCATCATCATCATCATCATCATCATCACCCTGGTAACCATCATTCCGCCGCTGGGCTGATGTTTCTTACTCTGTGGTGTATCTGCTGTAGGCGTCGATGAACGCCTGCCAGTTGTTGACGATCATGACGTCGTAGAGTAAGATGACGGCAGCCTGCGAGAGGAAGGACAGACGCTTCAGCACATTTTAACCCCGAGCCTCTAACGGAGCCGTGAGGCGGCGCACTGAAAGAAAACATCATCCAGGTGTGACTCACGCCAAAGTCGTCGAAGTTGTTGGGCCAATACTCGAGCTGCTCGTAGGTGCCGCACGCCACGCTGAAGTTGGAGGTGATGTTCTCCATGGAGGCGTTGGTCAGCACGCTGACGCAGAACGACAGGAAACTGAACGTTAGGATTTATTCATCGACACGTCCGAGTTTACGTCTCAGCTCAGAGCTCACGACAAGACTTCTTACCTCGACTCAGGAGGTTTAATGGCGCCCTCGAAGAGCCAGATCCCAAACACGGCGAACACGTAGTACACCACCTGCACGCAAACAGCACGTCAGCAGCTTTTAGAGTCACAGCACATCAGCTGACCCGCCCGCGCTGACATCACTCACCACCAGGATGCCCGCGAACGCTCGCAGGTTCTTCACCAGGTCCAACAGCGTGCTGGCAACCAGCGCCATGAGCTGCAGGACAGAGCAACGTGCAGACTGAGTGGGAGGAGTCACTGCGTTTGCTGTTTCCTCTGTGCAGGAAGTTCATGTTTTAAAGCTGCTGCGTGCAGAGCGATTATTTGAAATCAATAAAAACTGTTGTTGATTCTCTGCTGTCGTTCAGAGCGCACACGGACGCTTCTTTCACTCTTTACATCTGTCCTCCAACATGGCGTCCTCACACCGATGTCCACATGTTGGACAGATGCTTTCATTCATTTCTAAAGCACGTTTAATAACAAGGCAGCTGACCAAAGACCTGCACAGAGTCACAGTTAAACAACGGCAGGTAAGAAAATTAGGATAAAAGAATTTTTAACTCTCACAGTTTCGAAAGCCAGAGTAAATAAGTAAAAAAAGTAGCTGAAGATAAAACACAGAAACACATGAAGGTGATTTTCCTGGCCTGGGTTTTATAAAAATATTCTGCAGTACATCAAAAACGAAAGAAAACCATTAACCAACACATGAACATTACCTCTGAAGTTACAGAGGTTTTATTACAGACACAGCTGAGCATTTTGCATAATTTTAAAAAGTTTACATTTGTTCAGTATTGAACTGCAGAAATTAGGTTTTCTTTTCGGAAGTATGTAAAAGGAAAAAAAAAAA